GCCTGAGTGTTCTGTTGATTGACTGTATTTGTTGAATTAATTATGGGCAGGTTACAATATAAACAAATGTTTATAATCATGTCTTGTGATTATTTGACAGGAGTTTTACTTTTAAACTAAGTGTATTTATTTTAGTTATAATGTAAATACAATACAAATTAAACCAAGATTTAGAATAATTATCATTTTGATCCATATGGTAATGTGTGACTGGGCCTCGTGTCACTTTATGTGGAACAAATTGGGCCCCGAAGTCAAAAAGGTTAAGAACCTCTGTTTTAGACTGCTGAGAGTCTTTATGAAAATATGTCTTTGCCGTGTTCTGTTCTTTATAGCAAACAGATAGTTGTGACTTTGGGCCATCTGTTTTTGTTGGGTGTTGACTGTGAGACTACAGCACAGCTGCCAGGTCAACATCTGTATTCTGACTCCAAACACATGAGAGATGTTAACCTTTAGCTTTGCAGCTGATTACTAATGTGCTGCAGTGATATTGGTGTTAATCTTCTCTGGTGTTTTCAACCATTTTCTTTTCTTTTCTCCATCTCCCACCCAGTTTAGGTCCCTATTAAATTGTATTACCATTTTTTTTACATTTCTCTTATATTTTTCCTCTTACACCATTTTTACACTTTAACTTGTTGCTTTATTAGATTTTATTTAGCTTGTTGCTTCTTGTCAATATTGATTGGTTTAAGCASCAAGCGTTAACGTAAAGAATGCAAGCGTGCTGATTTTGCTCATGTGTGTTTGTGGTTAGGATGTATATCAGCCTGTCCCAGCTGACAATAAGGCTACTGCTGTCACAGGCCTGAGAGGAGGCATCTGGTACACCATCTGACGAGGGGAGAAAAAAATATGTTGAAGTGTTCACATCTATACTGTCTGTGAGTCAGTAGCATGCACATCACTGTATGTGATGAATWTGTGCTGTTTGTGTTCAGAGAAACCTGCAGGTTTTCTGCAAGTGATTAAATCTGTGARCCCAGTGCTTCTGCAGGGATCGCAGCCCAGTTCAGCCCAGTTCTGTCAAATTTATGATCATGAAAACAATAAGATTTAATCAAACACAACTTGGGTTAAATATTTTTTGTCAAATAAATTTTGATCAGTTGTATTGTTTAGATCAATCAAACAAGTTTCATTTCATTAATGTAATTCCGATATTATTTTAAGAATTGCAGTTTACATTTCAGTGTATTCC